CCCTTTTTTTCCTAGTGTTGGCAACAAATTGTCAAGCTTAGATTCCATCTTTTCTGGCACCTTCCTGGGTTAGCGAGTTCTGTAGGTCCTCCAATCCAGGGAGATCTTCGAGTACCGTCCTTGACATTGTTGAAGAATGGCGGGATGCCATTAGAAAAATTGCGTGTAATGAGATCGTTGCTGACACAACATGATTTGGCTTAGACACAGCCTGCGTTATCAATGTTGATTTTTTGGTGAACCTGGCCACAGAAACAAATTGAAGAGAATTAGCACCTCTTCCAGTTGACTCCCCAGAAAAATGCTGCCATGTGGCAGCACACACGAGAAGACACGCCATTAACCGTCCACCCATGAATTGAAATATTAACGGCCACGTCTCATCTCCAAGCCCATCCCCTAACGGCCTGATGGACGCCCATTCTCATTCTGCTTCTGAAGTATTCTCTGGTTCTGTTTCTGTTCATATCATACGCATCTATACCGTATAGGAGCGTGTGATAGCACAAGGTGACCTCACCGACAAAACCGTCAATCAGCGAGGGTGCATTTCGTTGCCTTTAAATTTGGCGAAAGAACGGGTTAGAATGGGCGATTGTAGTCGTGCTGAGACAAAGCACAGACGATCTCAACATTATTTCCATCCGCCCCTAAGGAAGATATAGAGCCCTATTCCGTCCGGTTTTAGGCCACTCCACCACCTGGATAGAAACGATGTTTTTCTCAATGTCAGCACATGTTTTTGACAGCGAACTGCGTTGGCCACATGCGCCGTCTAGTTTGGCAAAGCGCGGCACTCTGCATTCTCACTGCGGACAGCTGCCCCGATGGAGAGGACATGCCATGGGGACGGACATTGCAGCACTGCATGTCATGACTGTATTGTGTTGTATTGTAGTTCCAATTTGACCCTTGCACGGGTTGCGGGTGCCCACCAACACCAGCGGTGATGTAATGACATAGAGTAGATAGGAGGCCAGAAACGTATAGAGTACATAGAGTGTATAGAGAATTTAGGAGGCCAGATGCCTGTGCAGTTTTACTATTCTATGCGCGATTTGTGACGAATGGGGCAAGCACCACTGGTGTGCAACCCAGGGCTATTGCCATTGGCGCAACATCAGTATGCAACTTTGGGATATCAGCTTCCGAGACCGGGGGTGACACTCAACCTCATCCAGCACATCCGTACTTGGGGCCCGTGGCAGCTGCTTTCTGTTGGGAAAGCTTGTTATACTTCAACAGCAGTCAGACCACACAAAGGGCACCCTCTGCTGGGCGAGTGAGCGACATTCTGTACCACACTGTGAAAAGCTGATTGTTAGTCTTCTAGCGCGTGGCCATTCTGCATCTGTTGGGCTGCTCGCCCTGGCGTCATGCGCTGGAAAGGCCCAGCTTCTTGGAGAATATCCCGCCCCTTGGCTGTGGACATATCCAACAAACTGATGGCCGCCTTCAGCGAAGCTGTTCCGTCAGCCAGGGCCAACATTACCACACGCAAGGGTCACTGCAGCATAGAGACCCGGTCACTCTTCTGCTGGCGTACCCCTCACATTCACAATTCGTAACCGTGCTCCATGCGTGTGGCAAGTGACTTGCCCCCCCGCCCACTATTTACTTCGCGCCACAATTCCCAGTGCAGCCTCGGCCATCACGCCGTCGCGCCCTCGCCCCGATTGGCCATTGGTTCTCCAGTCAGCAGGCGCACCAGCGGAAGGAGGCCCGCGAGCGCAGAGTACGCGCACGAACGCGCCCGGGCGGCGCTGCTTTTTGTCGCGCAAGCGACCTGCGCCGGCGTCCCTTGGAGCCAGGCCACCGGGCCTCGTTTGGTGCCCCACCCGTTGGTGGCCAAAGCCCCAGCGCGGATGGCCATCCATTCGCATCATTCTGTCCCCGCCATCTCCCGGCGCTGCTGCTCTCCCTTAGCCTTCTGCGCTCCCGGCCGATCCGCGCCATGCGGGACACGCACATGTGCCGAGAACTCTTGGCACCACCGACATGGCCATGGGCCGATTGCGTGCGCCCTCCATCAGCGTCTCTGTGCGCGGCCCGCGCCACAAAGCCCTCCCGGGGTGGGGGTGGGGGGGGGGGGGGATGTAGGGCACTGACCGTGTAGCTCGCAGCTTCCATGAGGTGATCTTTAAGTCCACGGCGTGCGAAAATAGCAGTCCTTCCTTGGAAACGCGGAGTTTTGTCCAACCCTCGCAAAACGCGCCTGTCGCTCCGTCGCCTGCTTGTTCCGATTCCCGTGTATTCTCCGCTCTGCGGCGCATCCAGCGAGCGCCCGCGTTTGCCACGCTGCTCGGCGGGCAAGGTTCCGTCCGCGTTGGATCGTGCGCCCGCTGGGCAGGAGAGGTGCTTGGGCCGTCAACCGGGGGGTGCGTCGCTGGAGGGGCATTATCCAATGTACTGCCGTGTCCGGGACACGCGCGCTTTCCATGTGCAATACATGTGCATTCACATCCCACCGCGGATGGTACTTTCGGCTTTGGAGTGTGTCGGGCGTGGTGAATCGACGCGTCCGAAATTCGCTGAATGCTTTCAACAAATTCGCTGTGCGGGAGTCTAAGTTTCCTGTTGGGTCCTGTGCCGCGTTCGTTCGCTACCAGCTGTGCGCAAATCTAGCTCTCCAGTGGTCATTACCCCCAGTCATTGCCAGGGCGCAGGATTGGCCAGCCATTTGTTATCGTGCAACCAGATACTCCGTTTAGATGATCATTTAGATGCTTCCTAAAAAAGCCTTTACGGCAGCGCATTTTAAAAGCGCTTCAATTCGCATGTTGTTCCATGTTAGAAAATAGTTAAGAAAGTACTACGAGTACGCTGTAGTTCTCCTTCACGCAGAAGAGCTGAATGCACCTCATGCAACAGCACTTTTGCCGATCCAGTCTCTGAGCGCAAATGTTGGTTTGCCGTTTGCAACAGGTCACCATGAGCTACGAATCGGATGATTCCATCGGAGACAGCCCCCTTCGAGGTCAGGAACCACCAACGTCATTCCAGGCCCTTTCTGTATGGGGTCGAGCACTTGCAGAGGCACACAATGGATGTTGTATTCAATTCTTTCAGCGTGACCAATCACCTGGACTCAGCCGTGATTGATGTGGAAGTGACCCTGTCCATACGATTGGGGCACGTGAGGGAATTGGCGGAATGATGCACTCGAACGCATTTGGCAGCCGACAGGGCTCCCCTCTCCAAAGCGAGCTGTCAAGGAGAATGTTGGTGGCCACGATGGTCAATGCGGTTCGCTGTCGCCATGTGCACGCGCAGAAGAAGTTCCAATCAATGCCTGCAGTGACACAGCAACATGTTTTGTTGTGCATGACAGTGCCTTTCAGCCCTCCAGATGAAAAGCAGTCCAGAACGAGGGCGCCGAGGTGCATCTTCATGTGTGTCAGGTAAGAGGCGGGGATGCCCAAAGGCGATCCTTGAAAGCGTCGGTGTTGATGTGTCGTGCAGCGTGCACAGCAGCATCTTAATCGTTTCCTTATAGGTCCAAGCTGCATCATGGAATGTGGAGTACTTGAACAGAAGGAAGCGATGCTGCAGCTTTGTTTGTGCAAAGGTTGGCAACATTTACTGCACTGCATGCTGATTGTTAGTCTACCGCGTCTGCTTCGAAAGCACTTCACCGTATCTGGTAGTGTTGAGCGTTTCATTGTTGCTGGGGCAGTGCATGGTTATATGGGGCAACGAATGGTGGCAGCTCGTGCATTGTCCTACATTGCGTTGCCTTCAACGCGCTGCTTATGGCGCAAACATCAGGATGCGCTTGTCAGCCTTGGCAATATGTTACTGCTGTTGATCGCGTTTCGTTAACAATCGCCCAGAAGGATTTTCGACGGGACAACATTCGCGATGCGAACGTCAGCTTGCACAGAATTCTTTAGTAATGAGCATCTCCGTCTTGCCTCTTCTTTATCTGGATGAAACATCTGTTATGGGCGCCTGAGAACGTCGCGTCACGCATTTCGCGCTCTCTTTGCTGACCAACTTCATCAGAAACCCAGCAAGTGAGCATCGCGTCCCTTGCATCAACGCCACAAGACAGCATTCTGTTGCGCATGGTAGGGAGGGTCGACACCTCGTGGCTTGTGACAAGACGGCCAAGTTCTCCATGAAGAGGGGCTTCACCACGAAGAACGGATCGTCTGACCCTTACGCCCGGATCAGGTTCGGCCCGAAGCAGCGCAGAACACCCGTGGCGAAGGCAACACTGGCGCCCAAATGGGACATGAAGCTCATGAGAATGGGGGTCTTCGGGCCCAGAGATGAAGGATACGCGAGGATTTCGGTTTTCGATGAAGATAAGGTCAGCAAGGATGAGTTCATGGGGCAGGTCGCCATCCCCGTGAGCGCCATGCGCTCTGCAGGGCTGGGCGTCCACAGGTGGTGGCTTCCCCTCCAGGTACGCAATCTTGCGCGTAGGCTCCCAAATCGATGGCTCAATCGTCGACATGTAAGGCTAATTCGCCGTGTGTGGCAACTCCGGTTGATGCGCATGGGCAAAGCAGTCGGGCCTTCCATACAGCGGCGCTGTGAGCGCTGCTGATGAAGCGCAAGGCAACAGAAACCCTGGCGGTATGAACCAACATGCAATAGGCTGGTAGTCAGAACCATTCTGCGGGGTGGCGCCAAGGGCACAATCGTGCTTAACGAATGGGAGCTGGTTGAGAACCGACAGCTGGAACATTGAGTGTCTGCAACTGGTAAACTACCAGGGGCGAGCCTTTGCAACAGCTTCAATCAATCCAGTACCTCTGTCACTTGCGGAAACGCAGAATGTTGATATATGTCGACATGCGCATGGCTACTGGGTGCGGGCGTATTGCCAACAGCGCGGCCTGACGGATTTGCTTGATTTAAATGCACCAGGAGTCCACTGGGAAGTTTCCGGGCTGCCCCGTCAGCGGAGAAATCCTCGTGGTGTTCAAAGTGAAGAAGGCGGTGGCGCGGGCAAACGTAGAGGCCCTTTCGAAGCAAACGGAGGATTTGACAATCGAAGAGGAGGAACCACGCAAGGAGGCGGAAGAGGGCACAGCGGCTCCAGCACGAAGGAAGCCAGCGAGGCGGCAATGTGGCGAAGAAGAGGGGGCGGAAGAGGAGTCAGCAAGACGGCAGTGTGGCGACGAACGACGAGGAGACGAGGAGACGGAAGAGAAAACAGATGGAGCCGTGGATGAAGGGAAGGAAGCTGTGGATGTAGAGAAGGAAGCTGTGGACGGAGAGGAAGAAGCTGTGGACGGAGAGGAAGAAGCTGTGGACGGAGAGGAAGAAGCTGTGGACGGAGAGGAAGAAGCTGTGGACGGAGAGGAAGAAGCTGTGGACGGAGAGGAAGAAGCTGTGGATGGAGAGGAAGAAGCTGTGGATGGAGAGGAGGACGATGAAGAAGAGGATGATGAAGAGGAGGGAGAAGATGACTGCGAAATCGAGGAAGAGGAGGATGATACAGACGAGCAGGACGAAGGGTGGCAAGTCGACTTGGGGGCAATGGCATCTTCGGCCGGCGGAAAAATGGCAAAGTCAATGTCCAGCGCTTTCAGCAAGCAGGCCACCAAGGCTGCCAACGACCTGGCAAGAAAGGGGCAAAGGGCGACTGCGCAGGCCTTCAAAAAAGCCACAAGTTTTATTGGGTGACTTTGGTGACACTTTCCAGCCTGCTCGCGTGCCCGTGGGACATCCATTAATGTGCTGAAAAATTTCTGCACCGTTGTTCAATTGTTCTCAAAGATGCAAATAGTGGGAACTCGACTGCTTGATGCGGGTGCACGAGGGTAGCTTTCTGGTTGTTGTCGAATGCTCAGCGTGTCTGGCAAGGACTGGTGAAAGCGACCTGTGCGGCCTTTCAAAAAGATTGTCAACGCCCTCATGGAGAGCACATCACGCCTTGTTTGTCTGAGATTGCTGCCGAATGAGATCTGGCTGGACCTGCCCACGAGCCTCCACCCCTGGACATGGACCCCTCCAGCCGATCTTCTCCCTCAGGTGTCCGTCAACGTGACCTCCAGCTGCACAGTTCCTGTGATGACTGTGCCACTGGCTTTCCTCTCCTTGGTGCAGCTCAGGGGCAGCCAGACTGCATGCGTCCCTGGGCCCTTGGCTGTCAAGCCCCCTACACACACCTTGACGACTCCCAGCCATTCGTCCTCCCTCTCCTCCTCGTGGTGGTAGCACTGCACTTCGATCACGCTCCCGTCATTAGGCTTTGCCTCTCCCAAATCGACTGGCTCCATCTCAAACTCGGGCGAGTAGGAATTGGTTACCACTTCTGACGCATGCCTCTTTCCGCCGTGCGTGATGACCATGTACGGATTGCAGCTCTTTTTGTTCCCAAACAGCTCTGTGTCCATGTTAGTCAGGTTGCGCGCTTTCCTGATGGCAAGCGCAAGTTTGAAATGGTGCAGGGCTGTGCCGTCCAGAGCCTTGACTGCCACCAGATTCGACGCATCGTACATAATCTGTAGAGGCAGAGCAATTTGTCCAATTTAGCACGTCCCATAGGCATGAATCATTCGGGTATACGTGGACGCATTTGGAGTCCGAACTTTGGACATCATGCGTTCGATGTCACGGCTAATCAACGTTCCACTGCAATGATCAAGCACCCGAGGAGCACCACACACATATTCTGCTCTCGAGCATGCCAACTCTGCCTGCTTCCGCGCTGGTGCAATCAACCCATGTCCAACATAGTGCACTTCCAACCATGCCTGGCCCCGGTGGCAAGCGCTCCAACCGTGCAGAGAATGTTGAGAGGCATGCAATTCAGGCCCAAGCATGCTCCAAGTTTGGGGATTTGGTTCGCAAATCAGCAATTGCAAACACAGCTGACGAATGCCAGAAGTCCACCAGTGGATAAACCAGCTGGTCACTAATGTAGCAGGCGATCGTCAGGAAATTGGCCAGCAGACAGCCTCGTGCATTGCAGCCCCACCTCTGTGACAGTGCGTGCCAACACTGGCTGCTTCATGGTCACAAAACTCCAGTATGGACCGTTGCGCAGCAGCACCCCCATGAGCATGCTGGTGCCCTCGAGGTCAGAGGCCACAGTATAGGTGCACAGCTCGCTGGGGCCATCGGACAAGCGCACGCTGACCGACTTGACCTTGTCCAGCATGGCATCCTTGGTGTACACACTCGCTACCAGCAGGATGTGTGTCACGTTGTGAGGCACGCGGGTAAAATCGATCTGCACTTGCACTGTGCCATCAGTGAGACCAAGCCAGAATGCAAGTGCTGATGTTTTTTTTACTACAAGGTGAGATAACAGCTTAGCATTGTGATGTGGCAGTACATGCAAAAAGAAAGCGTCAATGGTCCAACTGAGAAAAGCACATTCTCTCCATCCTAACTTCGGCTTGTACTTGTCTTGCAGATGGACACTGCTCGTACCATTCTGGAGGGTTGTCACCTAGATGACTGCTGTGGTACCATCTGTTTTTGTATCTCGATGACAAACACAATTGCATGAGTTGGTAAAGGTCAATGGGTACATTGTTAATTGGATTCCATCAGCGTTGCTTTCACAAGCATCGTATGACATCACGGGTGTGCTGAAACATCTTTGAAGTACAGACACATTCATTAATGCACTGCTGTCTGCTGCCAGCATAGACACACACAAGCACACACTTCAGCCATTCCTTCCCCAGAAAGGGGCAGATGACATTCCTTTTGTGGCCAAAGCCTAAAACTGATAGTGTGAGATGCAACTCAGAGATAGGGCTCTGCATATTGTTGAACGACCATGCAAGCCCAAGAACAACAGCAACATGCATCACACTTGAGAGGCACTCCCTTGCATGAGCACAATTCAGCAGACGTTAATCATGACCATGGTAAGTGCAGTCCAAAGTGGGGGACCTCACCTTGAGCGCCTCCTTGTCCCCAGCATGTGCTCCAGCCAGCTGATTGTCTGCCGTGAGGAACCCAATCGAAGATGTTGCATTGTTGGTATGGTCCCACCACACAAAGTCTAGGCACTGCTTCTTCTCATCGAAAATGGCTGCGGCCGCATCGAGATCGAATCCGGGAGCCTCCCATCCAAAGATGGCACCAATGGCTTTTATGCCAGTGTCAAAGACATATGTCTCCGAAGGCCCCAGTTTGGCGACTTTTTTGGGGTCCCGCATGCCCATTGGGGACTTCGCTTGGAAGTACACATACACTGCAGGGGGCCACAGAGGATTTTAAACACAAGCACCAACAGCAAACAGATGTCGCGCTCTCTATTGTAAGGTATGCAAGACTATGAAATGTGCTCCAACTGCAAGCCCTTTACACCAGTATCTGCAATGCATCAGTGGAGCGCCACACGCACGGATTCTTTGAAACCAAGTGGTTGACCCGCATATTGACCACAATGTAGAATGCCCAGCCTGCAGCACCATGGTGCAGGACTCCCATGACAATGTGTCAAATACCCCAAATGGCAACAGATCAAGCAAGAACATCCAAGCAACAATGAAGAGCAAAGCGGCAACAATAATTGCATTAAGATCCAAGCAGCAACAACCAGCGCAATGAGCAGTTGCGCACCACAAAGATGACACAAAGATTCTGCAATGCTTGATGTTCGATTAACCACAACCCCCTTGCTGGTATCCAATGAAAGCCTGCAAATGTATTGAATCAATTGAATTGAGACTGACATGCCTGAACCTGTCGAATTGCTTGGTAGGAAGGAGAAACACAGCAGGCACACAAAGACGGCCAATAAACGGTCAATAATGCCATAAGGCAATCTGGAACTCGTGCACTGTTTATCAGTGCAAGATAACAAACCTGCTCGTTCCCCACACAAACCACACGAAACTCATTGAGTTGTACTACCGTAGCAGTGCCTGCAGCCCTGCCAAGGATGTTGGTTGAACTTTGGTCAAAGCATATGGCCCTCAGTACACTCTCCCACTATGTGCAATTCACAAGCCTGAAGCAGCTCTGACATGATTTCTTTGTAAAGCTGTGACAAAGTACTGCCTTAGCACCTTTCTGACAGTATTATCTTACCATCACACTTCACAACAGGCCAGCATAACATGACGCCACAACATTCTGGTTTGAGCCCTTTGCAGCTTGGAATGGCCAACGCAGCTAAAAACAATTCCCCTTGTGCAACCGACAACAGAGCAGCTGCAAGACTGAGCAAACGTGGACAATCACAGATGGTTTTTACAGCACGAGGTACACACTAATAGACAAGGTGCACCACCGAGGTACCGTAGCGTCTTATGCAGGCATAACTGACCTGAGATTGCAAGGAATTTTCTGTATCCATTCAAATCCACCAGCAAGTAGCAAGTTCTATTTGCACCACATGTACTTATGATTGGCAATGTTTGCTTGTCGCCCGTGTGGCAGCTGTAGTGATCCTTTCCCTTTCTACCTCTCAGCCGCCTCTCGCGTTCGAAAATCTCAATTCAAAAAGCCTGACGCCCCAAGCTATCGACGCGGCGGCGTTTCCAAGACCCTATGTTGGCTCGCAGCACCAATGCCGATGCCAAGGCGCGCCTTAGCCAGCGGCCTTGGTGATCAACCCATTACGGACAGCGTTGCGCTCGTTTTCTAATCGCATTCCAGACTTTGGAAGCGTCGGCGATCTACTGGCGCCAACCAGCGACCTTGCGCTTCCAGGCGCGCCGAACCTCCACAGGCAATCCTATCAACCGCCACAACCCACCTCCGTCGCCCGACATCTTCTACGGCCTCCTTCCCGCACAGCTGCAAGCAACAGTCGCCAGGCACCCGAGTCAAACCACCGGTGGCGCAGGCATCGGCCCCCCCCCTGGCTGCCAACGATCCAATCGCCCTCCAGGGCCAGCCGATCCTCGAACGGGCCGCGTCACGCGCGATCCGTCACCAGTACCCAAAACATGACGACGCGGGCACCTCGCCCCCATTCAATCCCCGGCCAATCGGGCGAATTCCGCTCACGCCCCGCCGCCCCCAATCGGGCGATCTTCCCAGCGCGACCGCCGCGGGCGACGCCAGATCCGCCACGGATTGCCGCCAGAAACGACCTCCGGGACCGCCCGGTCGTCCCCCCCTCCGCGCCCTCACCTTAACGGGGCCCGCTCCGCCCTATCTCCCCCCGACAGGCAGCGGAACGAACCGCCCAAGCGCCCCCCGCCGAGAGCGGTGCTGGATGACCTGGGCCGACGCGTCGCTCGCTCGCGGCGTGCGTGGCGGCGATCTTCCCCCCGCGGTCAAGCACCTCGCGGCAGATCTCCGCCGTTAGCCATGCGTGCGTGTCACGTCAGCGCCAGAGATCCGTACACGGCGCCCATGTCCGCCATGACGGTGCGCTCAGTAATGCGGCCAGTGCCCGCTGCCCGCCGTCAAGGTGACGCGGCAGCGACGGGGTGGGCAATCCAGCGGCGGTTCGCGGGCGCCGGGCGCAGGTGCGCGAGTCGAGGGCGCGGCTTTCGGGCGCCGGAGGGCGCGTTGAGGGTCGGAAGGCGCCGGTGGAGATTTGGAGCAGCCGGTCGGCGGGGGGGATCGCTCGCGGGATCCGGCGGGGCGGGGAGATCTGGCTGGGGATGCGGACGGCGGCTGGGATTTCGGGGGACGGGGACGCGTTCCGATCGGGAGGGAGCGATTGGCGGCGGGGGGGATGCCTTGGGGGAGGATCTCGCCTTGCGTTCCGCGAGGGGGATAGCGTCCCGTGAGGATGGGAACGGGGCGAAAAACTGGCGTCCCTGCGCGCAGCGGCGCTGTCCGCCGCTCGAGTTGGGTACCTGGCGCGGCCGAGGATCTGATGGAGGGCGTGAAGGGCTCTGCGCAGTCGGGGCAGTGTGCTGCCGGCGCTGTGCGCATCGCATCGCGATGGGGCGTGATATCTCCGTGTCGGTGCTTTGGGTGGGCGCCCTCCTGGTCGCTGCCTCGCTGCCTCACGCTCAGGAACATTATGCTATGGCTGCGTGTGTTACGGTGGACCCGCGGCGAGTTCTTTGGCTTCCCTTCGCCCTTGCGCGAAAGCCCCAATCCAAAGATTAGTCATTTGCCACGTGCATTCCTGTGGGTCAGTATTTGGTAGTTCGTTGTCCAATTGACAAACCCGCTCCAATCGCCAGTAAAGAGGAGCGCAGCTGTTTTGGGAGGGCCAGCAGCAGAGGAGGCTGAGCATAGATGAAAGATGCGATGGGGCCTCGTGCAGCTCTTAATGGGCACTTGAGATCTGAGCATTCCTGCTTTTCTCTGTGTCAACAATCGTGCGCTGACTGGAATCCACTGATATTGTGCAGGGCACAGTCAGAGAGGCGTTCTTTCTCTACTGTTGCGTTGATGGCAGACTACGGTAGGCACATTTGTGCGCACTTTTACCCCCCTGACAGACTGGAAATCTTGCTATTTTTGCTGTTGATCAGCTCTCTTGGAGGTTCAGCTCTGAAGTTCAGCAATCTGTCTTGCTCCACACCAAGCACACTTCCAATCTGTCCGCAGCCTTTGATTCCCATAGCCTTATTTGTTCAGCATTGCCCTCTTGAACCAGAGGGAATTGGGAAAGAACAAACACTACAGAAGAAATAGTGGAAGTGATTTCCCATGGAATCAAAGGAGAACCTGCATAGGATCTTTGCAGCAGTTATTTCCTGGAACTCTATTTTGGAATCTTGCTGTTTGGCTTGCAGAATCAGAGTCGTGTGGGGGCATATTGAGCAAATTTTTCAACCACACACATGGCGAGTTTGTGCAGTCAAAGCAGAAACGCGCAAACTGGGAAAAATAACCATACCCCTCATCACACCTTCGTCGATTTCCAGACTTGTGACCAGTGCTGGGAGCTGGCACGACAAGAGGACAACATCAGGATCCTAAGAGGATCCATGGCATCTGATGCCAAGGTGCACAATTGAGCTATTTGGGCAATTGTCTGTACATCTGTTGTGATGCTGCGAGAAGCTAATGTGCCGTTCTGTTCGCCCTGCAGCAACGCATGGCTCTGTCCACCTGCTCCCAAAACCGCCAACCCGAGCAGGGGTCATCAATGAGACAGCAAAACTGTCTGCAGATGGCCAATATGTAATTGATGGCCGTGTCTCTACGCTGAAAATCGCATTTGATTGGGAGGCCAAAAACGTGGACGTCGATGCTTCTGTTGCGGTCTTTGATGACCAGTTCAATCGTGTGGACGTTGTGTGGTGGGATAAGAAGGTGATTGTGAACCCTTGCCTGACAGGTGTTTTTTGTTTTGTGTTTTGTTTTCTTTGTTTTGCTTTTCTTTTTGCATTCCCAATGTGTATTTATAAATATAGAGTTTGATCTTCCCCTGCCTATTGCCATTAGAAATGAATGCCCCTGTACCAATTGGCAGCTTTCATTTTTCCTTTTGCTTCGGAGTACTTTAGATGGTTATTCAGGAGTGGTCGACCTAATCCAAGTGTCCGTATTATCACTGCTTGATACACTAACAATTCAACAGTTTAGAGTGTGCTGTATATGAAATTGTATTGGATGCTGCATTTGACAGCAGCTGCACTTGACTGTTGAGTTGCTCGTTGCATACCATAAGCGACAGCAGCTCAGAAAAATCCCCTTCCGTCAGTGTGATTGTGCATCCCGCAGACCTTGTTCTGCTGAATACTGTCTCTTCTGCGGATGCTGAATGTTGCCAGGAACTCTTGGGGTAGAATCACAAGCATGATATGAACTTGTTGATGGTGGCAGGGAAACAGCACCAGTTTTAGCACTAAACAGTGCTGTGTGTCAATTCTATGCAGTATGCTGTGCAGTTGTCCACTTGGCCTGGAAACTCGTGTTCTTGTTTAGTTCAGTTGTGATCTTTTTCTGTTCCTTGTTGATTTCCTCAACCAGTTAAGGAACTCAGGTCTTTGAATATGGGACAGAATATTCCACCTGATTCAAATGTCTCCATTTGTTGTCTCAACCTGATGGTTGGTTGATGGGGAACTGAGGCCTTTTTGTATGGTTATGAGCAGACTAGCAAGTACTGCTCTGTTCACCATCTTGGGGATGAGCGCACAGGGGAGAAGAAGGGAGACAAAGAAGTCATTGAGGTGGGAATTGCTGAATGTCGCTCCAAGAGACTGTCCATTGGAGAGCGGGGTATTGTTCCCTGACAGGCATGTCTTCATGGTGCAGAGCGTGATCATGCCTTGTAAACAGGAGAAAGGATGTGCCTAGCGGAGGTGCAATTGCTACACAGATTCCTTGAGAAAGGCTTTTGCTCAGTTGCAGGCTTTTTTCTGCATTGGAAGCTTCTGCCACCTATGCCCAGGCGATCGCTCATTGGGTGGCTTTGTCTGCATCTTGGCAGTAGCATTGCCTGTTGTGTTGAACAAGAGACTTGTGTTCTTTGTACTCATTTGCAGAAGTCCATATAGTGCCTGCTGATGGGTTCGATCATGACAGCTGATTGATGCATATTGCAGCCTTGTGTGCTGCAATGAAGTGCTGGTACTTCTGTGGGGAAAACATTCCACATGAGGCCCCTAAGCGCATCTGCTCCCATGCGGCAGAACAGCAATTAACCATTCCAATCGCTGCATTCCCAAGTCAATATATGCAAAGGGTAGCTACGTGTGCTTTCCTGTGGCCCTGGAAATGATTTAGTACTGACAGGAGTTTTTCAAGCTGTCTCTATGAGTTCCCATGTGTGTTCGATGCAGCAAGCATTTTTAAGACACTAAGCAGGCGCAGCTGCCTGTAGCCAGCCTCGGATCCATGCAGAACTACCCCAGGCAATCTGGCTTCTGTTGCTGCATTGAAGGCACACCTTTTGTGTACAAATGCGCACAGTTCCAACACACGAGTTGGATTACAGCATTTAGCAAAAAACTGTGAGCGAAGGTACTGGCATTGGGGCAGACAGGCCTGCGAGTCCACTGCTGCAAATGGTTTTCGCAGGCACAATTTGCCCTCTCTGGAAGAATCCATTTAGAAAACCGACCAACAGCTTGAGGATTGGAGCGCTCTGCGAATGGCTTCAGCATCTTTGCCCTTTGCTGCCCAACGAGCGAGCGCAGCGATCTATCAAAGTTTGATGATTGTAGCCAATGCTGATTGACACCATCTGTCAGGTCGAGCTCGCGCGTGTGCCTCTCAATGTGCACTACATTTTCTTCACTGAGAGTGTCTACACCAAGGGCAAGAGCCTGGAGGATGCCAAGCTGGGCAACGTGAAGCTGCTGTACCCCAACAAGCCCACCAGCACTCTGGAGATCGCCACCCACGCCCCGGGTGACCAAAAGGGCACAAATGCAGTGGTGGTGGGCCTGCTCACGCGCAAGGGCGCTTGGTGGACCTTCACGGCCCTCAGCAAGCCCGTCAGGGGCCGCACCATCAAGGAGATCGAGTACTACACAGACTTCAAGGCGTTCGTCAGGGAGCCCAGCTCGCCTGCTAAGACTTGGCTGGTGAAGGTGTGGCTGGATTGAGAATCCTCGTCACAACGTTGTGCCAAATTTTAGCACGATGTTGTTTTGAGAATAAGTCAATGAAGTTCATCGACACATCTCCAGCATATTTTGTGTACTGCACGCTTTGAACATGGGCTCAGCAATTGTACGCAATGCTGTGTGCCTTGCCACGGGCAACGCAGTGTTACATGTGTCAAGTGGGCCTCTGCTTGTTTGTCCCATTCTGTTCATAGCACTGTGGTCTCAGTTCAGCGCTTACATGCTTTTCCATGTTTGGGGCCGTTCACAACACCTTTGCAAGGTGGAAGAGGGTTCTCAAACGACGGCATGGACAAGGGTCTCAATGGATTTTCTTGAAGCTGGAAACCTCATTGCATGACACATTTCCCTTCTTTTTGGCAACGTTCCCTGTGCCCTTTCGAAGGTTTGGGTGCCTGAGGCCCGCAACATTGCCGCCTCGGACAAGGAATCCACCTTTGGCAAGAACAAGACCAGCGACTGCTTCGTGCACATCGCGTGCAAGGACAGGAAGTACACATCCGCCGTCGTTGAGAAAACGCTCAACCCCAAGTGGGCCACCAAGAAGCTGGATCTGGGTGAGACCATAGAGTCCGACCATACGCTTGTGGAGATCAAGGTGCTGGACCAGGACCCCTCCAATGACGACGATTTCCTGGGGGCGGCCTATCTGGCACTCGGAGGAATGGCCAAGGCGGGCGTGGGCGCCCATGAGGTGGTTGTCGCCCTCGGCGAGTCTCTAGATCCCAAGGAGAAGGTCAAGCGGGGGGTGGAGATCAGCGGCGACGTAGTCATCAGGTGGGAGGTCGCAACCTCGGAAGAGGAGTGAGGGACGCTGGAAAGGGGCAGTGTGCTGACAGGATGGGCAAATCAGTGGAGGTGGAGACGCACGTCTGATTTTGGAGCTGTGGAAGGCACGCTCTCTCGCAGCTTATCTGATTCGGGCTGGTTTCGCTGCTTGCAGATGTTTCATGTAAAGGATGGCCATGGATGGAGGGGACAAGGGCAATGGGTGCATGCTGTGGCGCATATGGAATTTATGGGCTGCGGGCTTTGCATTTTACTGCTGGACTTGGTTTTTTGCGACATGTTGTTGCAGTGCATGGAGAACCGACGTTCCAACGCTGATCGTCTAATTAAAGCTTCGGCAGTGCTGGCTCCATGCCAGACCCTCTCCCTCCCTCCACCCAACCAGCCCCGCCACTGTACACTTTGGCACTGTACACATCACAGCAAATGTGCGCAGTTTCCATGACCCCGGGCCCAGAACAGCCGCCACTTGGCTCCGTCGCTGAGGTGCGACCCCCATGATCCACCCCCACTTCAATATTGCACACACTCACGACGTCTGTGCTGATCAATCCGAGGGACTCGCAATGAATCCAGAGGGCAGGGGTTGCGCCCCCCGGGCACAACCGCTTTGACCGCCATTCCCCCATTGTTGTACGGACGAAAAGGACCATCCCAATTGAGTCCCACGTTTACATCGCCAGGTCCCATCGCCAGCGAACACGGTCATTGGGTTGGATTATTTGGAGTTTGGGGCCGCTCGCCATTTGATTCAGATGCCTCACGCAATTCGCCGCTGCGCTGTTCCCCGTGCTGTGCGGCTGCCAGCCGGTCTTTCCATCTTCTCCACGCTCGCTGCACGGTGCAGGCATGCCTCCGCAGTGCCTGTGCCTCCTGCTCCCCGGAAAGAGCGTAGTCCAGCACCAGCACTCGGCCCCTGGCGGGCAGAGATCCTTTGGGCGAATTCCGTGGATTGCGTTGGCAGGTGAAACGAAATCAACAGGAGCAAACCAAGCAATTGCACTGAAAAGCGGAGGTGGGCGATGGGGCACCCAGCCAGTATTCCGCCTACTAATGTCATGGCTCTGGATCTAAGATGGCACTTTAGCAGCAAGGGAATTTGCCACACAAATTGCGTGGCACTCTATATTGCTGTTGACTTGTGCGACACATTGGCAGCCCCCTTCCACAGCAATAATTGGAAGACGGATCGTGTAACGACCACCTGGCCAGTGAATTCGAAAACCTGATTCACATCTGCAGCGTGCCGGTCACAAAGTTTGTGACCACAGAAGCGTGGCAGATCGCGTTTCTGTGTCGCAGGTGCTCCAAAGGGATTAACTAGTTTTAAGTGAAATTTGCCCGGGACGTCGCCAAAGCTGTGGTGGTAATAGCAGCATAATTTGGAACAAGCGCTCGTGTACGATGAGCGGGTTTCTCCACTACGAACCACTTTGTTCTGCCACAACATGCACGCGGTGACTGAACTGGCGGGATCTATATCTCTCAACTCGGCGCTGAAATCATTTGTCACATCAAGGCCCGCCGGCAGCTCCATCAATTTTAATAGGTCTTAACAGGGCCCTACCAAAAAATTTACCCCACGTCTGAGTCCATTCACCACCTCCGATCGTTTGGCTCTGGGCTCTCGTAAGCAATCGAGCGGACGGATCCCAAACGGTTGAACTTTGGCTCAAGGAGGATTCTTCTTCAGCTTGACGCCAGTTCTCGGGGAAAGTCATGCAGCACCCAATATTTGTAATATTTTGCAACACTTTTTTCTGAAAGGATGTTCTTGCCTGAAACCCTTGGCATTGGGTGAGAGAAGGGTCCCAGGGTCGGCCTTTGTCTCCTTGCCGTCCAGCGTCACGTTCCGCCACAGCGCACCCGTGTCGGGAAGGCCCTTTTTCGCGCGAGCGTCTGCGTCCTTTGCCGCCCGGTTTGCGAGGAGCTGCGCCACCTCTGCTTCCTCGGCGTCGTTGAGATTCAGGTGGAAGTGCAGGCCTGTCCAGCAAAGTTGCAATGCGATGTGCTTGTAATTACGAACACCCACCGGAAACGCATCCAGCTGCACTCACGCACGAGGGCTTCCGTGCCCGTAATGGAAACGTATGGGATTATGGTATCTTATGCCAGCAAGGGAAAGCCAGTAGGCATTCAAATGCGCTTCCTGCCTTTACTGTGCCTTTCGCTTCTTCCCTTGCAACGCCTGGTCTCGCGCTCTGCGCAGTATTTGCCTAGCAGCGCTTGAGGAGCGATTTGACAGGCCTTTGGGCCGCATTACCATTCGGCGATTGCAATTCCTTCCATACGTGCAGGTGTCCAAGACGCCTCATCAGCTGGGTCTGGTCTTTTGGCCTCAGTTCGTGCACGACGCGGCATATGTTGGAGCGGTCGACGATCTTGGCCCAGAGCTTGACGAGCACGTCAACTTTGTCCTTGGGGAAGTGAAGTCCCCTTAGCACCCGAACAACCTGCATAAGCCATTGTTACAGAACGGCGTTGCGTAGACGAAAATTTGACAACAAACCTGTGGATGTTGAGCGGCAATGAGTATGGAAGCGGGAGCTGGTGGTAGTTGCCGGTCACGGGGCGTTTCAATAATCGCGGCAATAATTTTTCAGGGTGTCTTTCCTGGAAAACGCGGCGGCCCATTCTGTGCTTACTATCTTCTGCATGTCTCATAAATATTGACGGTAAACTGGAATTGCGGCGGTGTAACATATCATTGCATGTGAATGGGGTTGCGAGTGGATTTGCACAAGTACGGCGAGCACCGGTACCATAATTTCCTTCGCGTTGTTTACTCCAACAAAACTCCATGGAATTTACGTGTCTTAAAGGGTATGATAAACTATCGCCTTGCCATTTCAAGGCGAAAAATACCATAGGCACTCCAGGTCAACGATTGGTCAATTACCCGGTCTCAACTCCGCACAACGCTCATTTGCACACTGCGGAAAGGAAACTGACAGTGATAAAATATGCACATGTTCCTGCAGCAAGAGGCAAGGAAATCTTGCTTAAAGCCATAGGTGTTTCCCGCGTGAACGCGCATACCTGCTCGCCATAAAACCCTGCAATGCCGTTCCCGGAAACTGTGGAGCTGGCGCACTTGCATGAAATTGTTAAACATAGCCTGCGCTCAGTGGATGAAAAATCGTGTCCAAATTGCAGTTCAGCCTAGTCGAAATTGTGATTATACCTAGTCCTACCGTATGTAGGTTCGATCTAATACAATCCGAGCGAAAACCAGGTGGAAGTTGAGGCTCGACCTGTTCCAAAGTCTGAGGTCTTTCATTTTCGGAGTGGGGAGAAGAAACAAGAATCCATGATCCTATTGCTCGGCGCTATCGCTGTCAAAGAGTGTTCAAAAAATGTCAATACCCTTGCTCGATTCGGATTGGTCTATATTGGGCGTCTTAATTTCGCTCATCCTGTGCCACAGACATGCGGCTTCTGCGAATCCAACATCCCAAACATTTACAGTTCTCATAAGTGCGGAATTTGAAGCTGGAAATTGTTGAAATTCGCCAAATTAACTGCGCACCATGTCCCACGGTAGGCTCATTGCCGTGGGCAGCCTTGCATCGGAAAATTTTTGCAGATATACATCGACCGGTAGCGAGGATAGAAGAGATATATATATATATATGTTCATGAAGTAAAAACGACAGTAAGATTCCACCAGGAACAGCTCTGCGAAGAACTGATGCCTGTGTTCACACTCAGCGAATTGGGACTAAACCGCATATAGTGAGCGCCTTTGCAAAACCAACATAATTACGTCACAATTTCGTGGTAGCGTGTTGACTTTCTCCACTCCTATTGCTCCTAATATAGCACAAAATATGTACTAAGTACGAAACATTGTTATCGCCGTCATTGGCTTCGCGGCAGTACTAGAAGACACATGCACGTACAGATGCGCACCTGTTCTGAGGTGAAGGACGCTCCCAAAGAGGAAGACATGACGGCCCTGCAAACGCCGGACGTCCTCAGTTGGTACGCCGCATTCAGAGCCTTCACGGTAGCCTGGTGGGAGCTCTGAACTTCGGGCCTCAGTAAAGCCATGACAGCATTGCGTGTCTGCACATTCACGAACAATTAGTAACGTTGCTTGCTCCACTCTCAACGAAGGGCAGAGTGCAGTGAATTCCAAGTGCACAACACTGGTCTGAATGGCGCACAGTGCGGAGTAGTGGCAACGCTACTTGGTTGCAATGAATGCAATATGAACACAGCGAGAATATGAGCTGTATGGGCAACTTTTGGCTGCGATAGGCGCGATTTTTTGGGCCGTTTCTTGTCTATCAAAGTTGAGATTGCCTGGTGCCTACCTCATTAGAAATTCCGGAGGGGCTTGACTCTTCTAAAGGGAATAGGAACCGTACCGCCTTCAACGGGGGCACTATGGACAAGATACGAGCGACTGCCGACGCCCCTCCAGGTAAGGGCGCCAACACTTGAAGCACCACTAGCCCGATTTCGAATGGAGCCTTGACGAAAAGATCCGCAGCTTCCTTGGAGGGCTTGCACTCTATCATCCTCACCGCCAAATCCTCGCCCTGCGTGTAGGTTTTAATGCAATCTTCATGCCGTCAAAGTAACATTTGGATGCTGCTGCGATTTTGTCTCTTAGATGGCGCTCGTGGCGTCAACGGGTGGGCTACGAAAGTTTGCAAATTAGGGCGGAATTTGTATGTTATAAACTTCAGGTGTCGTGAAATTCTTTCAGCAGCGTCCCTAGATAACAAGTGTGGCGCCAAACTGATGTGCCATCAGCGGTAACTGGTCCGTAGACCAAACCAACGTAAAAATCAAGTGCATATTTCATGTAAACAAGTATCTGGGATGGGTTTGTGTTCCGAGCAACCAAATTATGGAATCACGAGTATGTTTGCTGTCGCAAGCAGCGAGTGAGTTTTGCGCGCTCAATGCGGTGATCATGTTTCAATGGTTCGTGGAATTATACATTGTTTTTACTCACATTATTCAAAATTCACTCAATTCAGGGATTTACTCCAGAGAATTCCCATA